TCTGCAGAAATGGTTCCAAGACCTGTGATGATAATGTCAGGGCTTCAGTCCAACCTCTCTGCTGGATTCTGCAACATCACAGTAAACTGTTCCATCCATGATAAGTGGCTGTGGTTTGAGTGTGAGGGCGAAAGTTGCAGAACATCTCAGAAGTCGTTCAGCAAGTTCAACATCACCATCTACACTGACAACGGAACTGTTGTCTGCAGCGCCAACAACCATGTTAGCAGAAATGATACTTCTCAAAGCATAGCAATGTGTAAGTAATACGGGATGTTTTTAAATCGCAGAGTTGCTAATTCAATAAATTAGTACCTTGACGTATAGCTATATTCATTTCTCTCTTAATAGTTTTGTTGAACTCCTCTGCTATTTCAGTAATTAGTAGTTGTTTGCAACGATTCAAATTTCTGTGTTGTCCTTTCTGTCTGAAAAGACAGAAAGTAAATACTTTTTCATGTGTTTCCAGGTTTCCATTCAGCCGAATCTGAAAACAAAGAGGAACCACAAAATCCATTTATATTAGCATTAGTTACTGCAGTGTTAATTTTCCTGTGTATTTGTGCGTTTCTGATTAAGAAGCTTGTTTCAGCAGCATGCCATCGTCACAGGGTAAGTGACATGCAACAACAAATACTCAACTGGACAGATTAGATAAAAAGTGCAACAGGGTCGTTTTCGAATGTGTGACATATAACGTGACAGAAAATGTATTTTACGGCATTATTTCCAGACAAGGACACGTACTGCTCAAGTGATACAGAGTCAGCCAGTGGAGGCTCGTCCACAATCTGAGCCCAGAGTCTCCACGTCTTCTTCTTCCAGTCAAGCTGAGCCCTGCTATGAGAACGTGGACGTACCACAACCCAACCAGACCAGCAGCCCGAGAGTGGAACTGGGCTCCAAGCAAAGTCACCAAGTGGATACCGTCTACAGCATTTTACAGATGCCAAAAGCGGCTGCTTCTCTTGACAAAAATGACAGCAGCAAAGATACGAGAGGACACGAGAACAGAGAAGAGGGTTTGACTTCAATCGCCCTGGATGAGGCTCAGAGCCCCATCCAAGTTGACACTTTGTACAGTGTGTTGCAGAAGCCGAAAACCTTAAGTCACAGCACCACCAATAGGTGAAAGAAGTTAAATAGTGTGGTCAGAATGCAGTTTGTGCACGCTGGAACGATCATCTTTACACATTTTCACACATGATGCTATTATTTGTTCATTTTTCTGTCTTTTGCATTTTCTTTAACAAAGCATGTTCTGTTAGTGTATTCATGTAAGGTGCACATTGCAAAAACATTCACCAAATGAAGATGAAAAAAAACAAAAGAAATTTGTGCTTGCCAAATGCAACAATAAAAATAAAAGAAAACTCTACTTGTTCATCATTAACGACCGACCACTACAGCTTTGGGTACGCTCAGTAAATCACAGAACATCAGCTGAACGAAGAGAGACCCTTCTTCATTACTCGCATTTCAAACATGCATAGGTCAGCCAGAACTTGAATGAATGAAAATGTCACCCATTAGGAGCATTGTTTGCAGGCAAACTAAGTAAATATACTGATTTTTTCCCCCGTAAAACTCTATTTAGACTGAGACATTTGAGGATATTTACACCACATTTGCTTGCTGATTCCAGAATTCTCATACATTAGTCATTAAAACACGTTTTTTTCAGCAGCAAACGTGATTTCCAAAGTTGAACATATAGCACAAGATGCAGATATGTGTAATTTTCAGTGATGGAAAGCAACTATGCAGATTTAGTCAAGCATCGACCTGAAGTACAGCTTTGAGGTACGTGAGTGTTTCTGTGTATGCCGCTTTATATGTCTACAATTCAGAGGAATAAATTACACCTTCTACTTCTCTGCGTTTATTTGACAGCCTAATTTCTTTCAAGATGACGATTTTTCACAGCAGACAACAGAACAAAACAAAAACAAAAATAAAGAAACCAGTGTTTTCAATCTTACTGGCTACTTACTGAAATCAGTGTGTAGTGGGGGTCACATTTTAGATGCCAGATTCTAAGCATCTGACCAACAATAAATTAATAATTATATAAAAAAACGGATTTATGGATCATAACTTTCCCTTCTTTCCTCTCTCTGTATATAAAACTGGACATTAACCAGCTCCTCCTGCAGCAGCAACAACTGTAACATGCTGCTGACACACTGATGCCTCACTATTAATAATCTAATGAAATTTAGAACAATATGTGAAGTAGGATGTTGCTACTAACACAACAACTTGTGAGGCCACACCAGCTCCTCCTGCAATTATCCAGTCAGCCAATCACGTGGTAGCAGTGCGATCAACAATATCCACACAGGCCAGGAGCTGATAGGAGTTAATACTCTGCTTGAATTTTCTTTTAAACTTTGCATTGACATTGCAGTTACCAAATATATATTTTAGATAACGTCGGCCTCAATAACATATTTAGTCTTTTCATTAAGCTATTATGTATAGATAATGGATGGATTAATTTCGTGTACAGCCTCTGAAATATCCGACTTCTATGGCAGTATTTGAACCTATCATGACACGATTATTTTTATTGGTTAGTCAGGTGGCGGTTATGAGTCATTAGCCAATCAAGTACGAGTATTGTACCCATCCGTCGCTAGATGGGCGGGACCAACGGGACCGGGAAGAACCGCTAACGCAGACGAAAAAAGAAGAAAAAGTTGGTAAAATTCGACAGTAAAACATGTTTTTGTTTATAGGGTAGACGTTTCTTATTATTTAGTAGACTTATGAAGTTGGAAAGTGGATATTTTGTAGCCGTTTTCTTCGCATAATTAACTTGATTAGCGCAAATGCCGTGGCCTCCGAACTGTTGCTAGCTAGCTGTTGCTCGCGCTAGCTTACATGCTAAATGATTAGTGGTGAAGAAACACCTGCGTCGAGTCTCTGAGTGAGAATAGTCGCTAATAATAAACGGAAGTCATGTAGACATGTGGTTTATTGCTTACTGGGAACAATATAGGTATAATGAAATGCTCTTTATATCTGTTTGTGGATGTCTGGACAGAGGGACCCGCCAACTGGTTCAAGTTTTTAACTTCCAAGAAACTGTGAGTACTGAAGGAGCACAAGCTCCAACATGGCCGCTGACCATATGGTACCACAAAGCTGGTAACACAAACCAAGGCATACTGTTGCATTTCATTGCTGTTACTAGGGCTGGATGATAAAGCTTTTTAGTATTAGTTTAATGATCATTTTTAATTACCTTTGCTTTCTTTTTAAACTAAGACCAGGAGTAAAGGGGTTGAGTTTGAATCTCATCACTTTAACCCATTTATCAAGGTACGCAGGTAATTTCAACATGGCATATTGTATTCAAAAACTCTTAAATTCAACTAGGTGAGCATGCCACGAAGTTTCAGTCTGATTATCAGATAATAAGAAACAGAAATAGAAAATTGGCCATGTAAACGCAAACATACATGAATTACTTCTATATAATTTCTTTACTAAGGAAATGTGAGGTTAAAGTGATATGGTCTGAAATTAGAATGATCTTTACTCCATCTTAAAGGGTTGCAGTATACAGGAAAAAAAGGAGGAAAAAATACAAATGGTTTTATAAGGGAACACTGTTTCTATAACTGATTACAGTTGCAACTGAAAATACACTGCTCAAAAAAAATAAAAAAATAACACATCCTAGATCTCAATGAAGGAAATATTCCAATTAAAAATCTTTATTCATTACATAGTGGAATGTGTTTAGAACAAAATAACATAAAAATGATCCATGTAAATCAAAATCATTATCCCATGGAGGTCTGGATTTGGAATCGTACTCAAAATAAAGATGGAAAAATCACATTACAGGCCTCCTCAAGACAAGTCAAAATGAGGCTCAGTAGTGTGTGTGGCCTCCACGTGCCTGTAGGACCTCCCTACAACTCCTGGGCATGCTCCTGATGAGGCAGGATGTTCTCCTGAGGGATCTCCTCCCAGACCTGGATTAAAGCATCAGTCAACTCCTGGACAGTCTGTGGTGCAACGTGGCATTGATGGATGGAACGAGACATGATGTCCCAGATGTGCTCAGTTGGATTCAGGTCTGGGGAACGGGCAAGCCAGTCTATAGCATCAATGCCTTCATCATCAGGAACTGCTGACACACTTCAGCCACATGAGGCGTAGCATTGTCATGCATCAGAAGGAACCCAGGGCCCACTGCACCAGCATATGGTCTCACAGTGGGTCTGAGGACCTAATCCCGGTACCTAATGGCAGTCAGGTTACCTCTGGCTAGCGCATGGAGGGCTGTGAGACCCTCCAAAGAAATGCCTC